TTTAAATTCTTCATGTACTAACCCAATAGTTTTGGCAGCATTGATTGAAAAGATGGTCCTGTCCATGCTATTACCAGCATATATTAAGTGTCCATATATAGATTTGTCTCTAGCCTCTATTGTGTGCCATTGTTCTATTTTGTCAGTCTTTACCTACACTACACTAATTTATTATAACAGATTTATCGTAAGTTTTGATTTGGTGCATCTTCCCAAGTTATATTTAAGGAGGTCTTGACTATTCTTTGCTCTTTACATTTCCATATAAATTTTTAGAATCAGCTTCCCAAGTTTCATGAACAAAAACTAGTTGAGATTTTGATTGGGGTTGAAATGAATATGTAATTTATTTGAGAGGAGCATTGATGTTCATAATTTTGAAAATTCCATTATACAAAGCATGACAAATATAGGTCTCTGTTTATTTAGGCCCTCTTTAGGAACTTTTAATAAAGTATTATAGTTTTTCCTGAAAAGTTCTGGTATGATTTTTATTATATTATCTCTAGACACTTGTTTTTTTCCTGTAATTATAACATTTTTTCTTTTTCTAATTTTAGAAAAATTGACATACATCACTATATGAGTTTAAAATGTACAGCATGATAGTTTGATTTACACATATTGTGAAATAATTCCCACAATAGGTTCAGCTAACACCTATCTTCTCATACAGATACAAAAAAAAAATGAAAGAAGAAAAAAGAAAAAAAATTTCTCCTTGTGATGAGAACTCTTAGGATTTACTCTCTTAATAACTGTCCTATATATCATCCAGGAGTGTTAGCTATAGTCATCATGTTGTGCATTACATCCCTCGTACTTATTTATCTTATAATTGGAAGTTTGTACCTTTTGACTATCTTCCTCCAATTCCCCCTCCCCCTGACCCTTTGCCTTTGGTAACCACAAGTCTGATCTCTCTATATATAAGTTAGATTTTTTTAAAAATATTCCACCTATAAATTAGATACTACAGTATTTGTCTTTGTCTAACATATTTCACTTAGCATAACGCCTTTAAGGTCCATCTATGTTGTCTTAAATGGTAGGATTTCCTCACTTTTTTATGGCTGAATAATATTCCATTACATATATATATATACCACAACTTCCTTATCCATTCATCCATCAATGGACAAACTGGTTTTTTTTTTATCTTCACTATTATAAATAATGCTTCTGTGAACATGGGAGTGCAGATATCTTTTTGAGTTAGTGTTTTCATTTCTTTTGGCTATATTCCCAGAAGTGGAATTAACAGATCATATGGGAGTTCTATTTTTAATTTTTTTGAGGATCCTCCGTACTGTTTTCCATCGTAACAAATTGTTTTCCAATTTGCAATCCCATCAACAGTGCACAAGGGTTCCCTTTTCTCCACATCCATGCCAGCATTTGTTCTCTTGTCTTTTGATGATGGTCATTCTAATAGGCATGAGGTGATTTTAATTTAATCTCATTGTGGTTTTAATTTGCATTTCTCTAATGATTAGTGATATTGAGCACGTTTGCATGTACCTGTTGGCCATTCATATATCTTCTTTGGAGAAATATCTATTCAGGTCCTTTGCCCATATTTTAGTTGGGTTATATGTTTCTTTGCTATTGAGTTGTAGAGTTCTTTGTATATTTTGGATATTAACCCCTTATCTGATATATGGTTTTATGTTGATGTAGTTCAACTTGTTTATTTTTTATTTTGTTGCTTGTGCTTTAGGTGTCATATCCAAAAAATCATTACCAAGACCTATGTCAAGGAACTTTATTCCTGTGTTTTCCTCTAGGAGTTTCATGCTTTCAGATCCTACATTTAAGTCTTTAATCCATTTTGAGTTATTATAACTTTTTAAAATTTTATTTTTGAATACTCACATATTTACTTTTATATATTATTTATATATATTTTGTATCCAGCAATTTGGTTAAAACTGCCTATTACTTCACAGTTTATTTGTAGATTCTTTTGGATTTTTTACACTCAAAAGAATTGTATCATCTGAAAATAATGACTACATTATTTTTTGCTTTCCAGTTTTTATTCATTTATTACTTTTTAATGTCTTAAAATTTTTTTACATTGTTAAAAACACCTAACACAAAATTTACTATCTTAACTGTTTTTAAGTGTGTAGTTCAGTAGTGTTAAGTATATTTACATTGTTGTACAACCAATCTTATTTGCTTTGTTTGAACATAGCCTTGAATTGGCCTTTTAAAATTTCTTTTATGTATAGATTCTTTTGGATTTTCTACTTCAAAACAAAATCTTCTGAAAATAATGACCCCATTATTTTTAAATTTCCAGTTCTTATTCATTTATTTCCTTTTCTTGCTTTAATGTGCTAGCTTCAACCACCAGTACAAGGTGGAATATCATGCTAGCGGGCAACCTTGCCTTGCTCTGACCTCAGTGGCATGGTCTTCAATGTTATTCTTACTACAATGTTTGTTGTAGGTTCTTTTCTTGTCTCTTTTCTATAAACTGCCCACATCCTATTGACTAAATGATGCTTCTAAATGCCAATTACATTACTTCCTCTTCTTAAAGTTTGTTAGAGGTTCTTCTTAAGATTCAAGATAAAACTGAATGTGTGAGCTTAGCAACAAAACCTTTTATGAGTGACAACACCCACTCCATACCTTCCTTGTCTTTTTTCTTGATCCTCCCTTAAATGAAGCTTTTATTACACTCCTGGAATTTATTTACTCTTTTCCAAATATATTTTACTGCTCTATTCCTTCATGTCATTACACTAATGACCCTCAGCTTGGAAAACCATTCTTTACTTAAAGCTTCTTAGCAGTAAGGATTAGCTCAGGTGTTTCCTCTGAATCCTCGTGTACCTGGTCAAGGTGGCGACTTCCTTTCTGTGCTTCCAGCACCCAGCATATGCACCTCTCAGGCTCTTACTCCATTTACTGAGAGGATTGTCAGTTTACTGTTCATCTCCAATTCTACTCTGCAAGAAACTAGAGGACAGGGACTCTCACTCATATCTGCACTCTCACTGTGGGGCACAACTTGCTTCTGGCTTTTGAGTCAGATGCTTTGCTCAGCTAATTTTTAGACTCTGTCCTTTCTAATATTAGATTTTAGGATAAACATTTCTAAGAACTGCTTGATAGGCATAATACAGCTTTTGGAATATAGTATTTTTTATTCATTTTTAAAAATTAGTAGACTGTTTTTAGAGCATTTTAGATTTACAGAAAAACTGGGCAAAAAGTACATAGAGTTCCCACATACACAGTTTCCCCTATTATTAACATCTTGCATTAGCATGGTAGACTTGTTACAATTGATGGGCTAATGTTAATAGATTATTATTAAAGAATCTCCATATTTTACGTTAGGGTTCATTCTTTGTGTTGTACAGGTCTATGGGTTTCGACAAATACCTAGTATCATGTTTCCACCATTACATTATCGTATACAATATTTTCACTGCCCTAAAATTACCCCGTGCTCCACCCATTCAACCCTCCCATCTCCCAATCCTTGACCACCACTGATCTTTTTAGTCTCCATAGTTTTGCCTTTTCTAGGTCATATAGTTGGAGTCATACAATATGTAGCCTTTACTGACTGGCTTTTTTCACTTAGCAATATGCATTTAAGGTTCTTCTATGTCTTGTCATGGCTTTATAGCTCATTTCTTATCCTATTGTTTGTATGTAACACATTTTGTTTATACATTGACCCACTGAAGACATTTCAGTTGTTTCCAAGTTTTGGCAATTATGAATAAAGCTGCTATAAACATCTGTGTGCAGGAATTTTTGTGGATATGAGGTTTCAACTTATTTGGGTAACTATCAAGGAGTGTCATATGGCAAGACTATGTTTAGCTCTGCAAGAAACTTCCAAACTATATTACACAGTTCCTGTGCCACTTTGCATTCCTACCGGCAATGAATGGGAGTTTCTCTTGCTCCACATCTTTACCAACATTTGGTGTTATTAGAGTTTTTTATTTTATCCCAAATGTATTATTTTCATTCTTTTTCTATTCTAAATATTTTCTAGATATTTTAATGATTTCTTTTCTACCCATGAGTCATTTTAAATTGTGCTATTAATGATTTCTGAATGTATAGGTTTTCCATGCTTTTAAGTTGCTCTGTACTGTAATTGCTTTACAGTTATAGAATGTGTTTCTGTGGTGGCATTGGTGGATACCACCACAGACATTTGCTTTCTGATGTAGTAAGTGATCACTCTTTGTGAGTTTCCACAGGCTTGAAAAAACTGCATAATCTCTAATAGTGGTTGCCCTCACTCAGTGTATCTAATGAATGACTGACTGAATAGGTCTTTGCCTTTCCCCCACGCCCGAACCTGTCCTGGTACCTTTCCTAATACTTGGATCCTTGGAGACTAACGTCCTTTCTTGTTCTAGTAATTCCTTCCCCTTTTGGTTTCATGATCAGAGCCATGGCCCTGAAATAAAGTCAAGGGAGGGGCAGGCAGGATTACCTCATGCTGTAACAGGAAATGTCAGTGTCTCCCACTCTTAGTTACTCCTGGAGCGCTGGCTGTTTGCCAGCACACCCCGCTACCCTGTGCCAGGACGACCTCTCTTTCAGGGTTAGATCTTCATCCTGCATAAGCTCTGCCTGCCCAGCCAGGACCTGAAAATGTCCCTGCATCTGACGTTCCTGTGCCGCCCACCCTTGACACAGGATAAAACCCCCTCCCAGTCGGCCCCACCCTCACAGTCTATATTTGCTTTCCTGGTCTGAGAGAGATGTTTACGGCCTGCCAATAAATGCAGTGGTTCAAAGTCCAGACTCCCCATTCTCCTAACACATACAGCCATGCCTACGTCAGCGAGACTCCAAGAAGAACAATGCAGTTGCCCATCAGCTGTCGCTAAGCCTCTCCATGGCTCCTCACCTCAGACAGCTGGGCTGATTCCTCTTCTCTCTAACTCATCCATCCATCCCTCCCTCCTGTCATCTGTTCATAGAGTGAAACTGACCCACAGGACACATGCATGGCTCTCCTGCTCGCTTTGGCTCTCAGTCTCCTGAAGCTGGGGTCAGGTGAGCCTTCCAGACTAGACTATCTCTTTCCCCTTTTGTTGATTAATAACTTGAGTGTTTAACTACAATGATTGCAGCACAGTGGGATAGGGGCATCTTTGTCATTGGCATTCCCTTAGCTTCTACTAATGCCAGGACTGTGGGGATCGTGGGGCAGTATAAAGGACTCAGGCACTGTGAAAACTGTAGTAGAAATAATGGAGGCAAAATTACTGAAGAGAGGTCTTGGTAGTGGGGAGAGGGCACACCAAGGTTGTTAAGGTGAATAAATACAGTATTTGTTCCCAGTGGGCTGTAGGTGTTTAATCAGGGAGGTTTCTAGTAGAACACCCAGCTTTCTGCCTTGGGTGCCTGGGTGAAAGGAGACATTTTAGGATGTTTGAGGAAGAGACCATGTGTCCAGCTGTAGACATACTGAGTTGGAAATGCCTCTGGTATGTGACCTGAGTGGGGGGCAGGTGTCCACATCTTTAAGTGACAAGTTAGAACCTGGATATTCTGTGCAGAAATCCTCTCTTTTTTCTCCTTCCAGTTACCATCGTCACAAAGACTGGTGTATAGGATGTTGAGTAACTGAATAAAATTCAGAGGCAGCTGGAGGCTGGAGTAAAACACAGGTCTCCAGGTAGTCAGTGTCCAGGTAGAAAAGGTTCAGTCAACTATGTTCATTTTTTGTTGGTGCATATTCCATCCTGCCACCTGTATACACATATCTCTTTTACTAAAGAAAGATAAGAAAAGAGAAATAAGGGCATTCAAAACATGCTCCATGTTTCCACCACAAAAATCCACCTTATTCACAGGAGAGCCTCTCATTGAAGTTGATTCTCATCCATTTCCTGATGAGCTTTTTCTTCTGCTTTGTGTTTCCTGGAGAGACAGCAGAGCGTCAGAGAAACGACCTTAGAGGCTGAAAGACTTTATTTTTTAAAACTCCCATTTCCTCTGCTTATTAGTTTTTTGTGGCTCATAACTTCTCTAAGCCTCAGTTTGTTCATCATCACGTGGAGATGATATTAAAGCCTGATGGGGCTGTTGTGAGGATTGCATGAGCTCGTTCATGTAAAGTGTGTAGCACGGAGCTCCATTGGCATGTGGTATGTGTTCAACAACAGACAGTTTTTCCTCACTAGTCCCCAGGGGAAGGAAGAGTAAGGAGTGAAAGGGGCTGCTATCACAAGGCAAATGACAGCAGCAAGGGCTCGACACAGAACAGAGACTCCAGAAAATGTTCCCTCCCCTGAAGAGCCCCCCACAGCCCTGAAGGCAGCACCAACTGCAGCCCAGCTGAGTTGGACCAGATCCCCATAAGCTGACCCAGGGACAAGGACGTGTCGGCAAGAAGTTTGTTTAGCAGGTGATTCTGGGAACCTAAAGTGAGGGATTGAAGAGAGTGAAGTCTGAAGGGAAGAAAGCCATAGAGGGGGTGCTAATGAGCAGGCTACTGCCATGGTAAACTGGGACTCAGTCCCACTGAGACCTTCTGAGGAATGTTGTAGACCATGGCTCAGAATCATCCCAACATCCACTGCCTCCCGTCTCTCACTAGTAAGAAGCACTCTAGGGACTTAACATCTCAGCACTTCTGGGCTGCGCGGCACCTGGGCTGGGCAGGTTCTAAAGTGAACTAGAAACTCTCAGCAGGAGGGAAAGTCCAGGCTCCTGAGTGGAGCTGTCCGTGGACAGGGGATGTGCCCATCCAACTGCAGGGCACTCAGAGGTGGGAATGGGAGTGGGGGCACAAGGCTCAGGATCTGCTAGGCCAGGTTAGTGGCTGTCAGAGAGGTCCTGCTGCAAAATTACCTTTCATTTAATAAGATTCTCCTTGAGGATGCATGAGTGAAATACGTTTTAGAATGATCTATAAAACATATTTAAAGTAGAAATAATTGGTGCTAAAATAGAAAAATTCACTTATTTTAAAATTTGCAGGTGACCCACTTTGCCTGTGATGCCCATACCCACTCCCCCCACACATGTATATGCACATATCATAATTTAATACTTATGAATTAATCAGGAGACATTCCTAATCAAACAACTGTGTACACTGAAGTGGAAGAGAATGAACCTTCACAGTTTGTGGTCTGAGAGGAAATCTAATCACTACAAAATGGTAAGTGTTATTTACACCAGGAAAATTACTGAAATGATCATTAAACAGATGAGCAAGTGTGGAAAGAAAATGGTGCTCACCATTTATACGTGTCTCCATTGTTTGTGGAGCACCTACTCTGTGCAGGGCACTGTGCTGGACCTGGGGACGCTGTACTGAGCACAACAGACAGGCCTTGTCCCTAGGGAGCTGTGAGTCAGCACAGACACACAGAAAAAAATAATTACCACACTTGGAACCAGACAATGAAGAACGTTTCAAAATGAGGGTGAGGACAAGTTGTACCAAGAAAATACAAGAAAAATGAAGGTAAGACATGTTGACAAAGCATTAAGATGAAGAACCATTCAAGATAAAAATCATAAAATGAAAAAAAGAATATTATTATACAGGTGTAAAATGTACATAGCATAGGAAGGACATGTCACAGCATGAATGTGCTAAAGAGCAATCTGAGATAAAAATGGCAAAATCTGGGCCACCCAGTGGCATAGCGGTTACGTGCCTGCGCTCTGCTTCGGCAGCCCAGGGTTTGCAGGCTCGGATCCCAGGCATGCAGCAATGCACCACTTGTCAGGCCATGCTGTGGCAGCATCCCATATAAAGTGGAGGAAGATGGGCACAGATGTTAGCCCAGGGCCAGTCTTCCTCAGCAAAAAAAGAGGAAGATTGGCAACAGATGTTAGCTTAGGGCTGGTCTTCCTTGCAAAAAAACAAAAACAGCGAAATCTTCTTGTCATAGTGACAGACATTAATGTAAGTCTTTCAGAATTTGGCAGGGCAAGTAGATAAAAATATATAGAAGCACAAATAAACATTTAACTTACGGGCAGAGATATATATTCCTCTACTGTATCCATAAGACAGTTATAAAACATTATCACATGCTTGAAGGAAACCTTTCAAATTGCACCAACCTGGAGATTTTCCAGTTTGGTCACATACTCCCCTTCTGGATCATTGGAAAAGGGATTGTGTTTGGTTTTTAGCAAGGAAGATGGAAAAGGGACTGTTGTGAGTTTTCAGTGAAGCAGATGGGCAGAGAGGAAAGAATGTGGATATAGAATCTCCTCTAGCTAGAGGGTCTGCATTTGGAAAGTGCCTCTCATGCCTCTGGATAGCTTGCTTTGTCTCCTCTCGGGATGTTTGTGAGACCAAATGAAGTAACACATGTGGAGGTGTTCTGACAAGTGTAAGGGATGTAAGAAGCAAGTCATCAGGTTTGGAAAGGAGATCATGATGTATGTTCCACCTGCACTCACATCACCAGCCCACTCCAGCCCTGAGTAGGACACACTGATAGGGGTTTTGCTGTTCTGTTTATCTGTTTATCTGGGTTTATCTGTTCTGTTTCCATCCACAGAACAGTAGCAGGTGACTGGACCAGATAAGCCTATCCAGGTCCTGGTTGGGGAGGACGTGGTGTTTTCCTGCTTCCTCTCTCCTAAGACAAATGCAGAGGACATGGAAGTGTGGTTCTTCAGCAATCAGTTCTCTGCTGTGGTCCATGTCTACAAAGATGGGAAAGACCAGGAAAATATGCAGATGCCAGCATATCAAAAGAGAACTGAGTTCATAAAGGACTCCATTGCAGAGGGGCATGTCTCCCTGAGGCTGGAGAATATCATTCCCTTGGACACTGGCCTCTATGGATGCTGGTTCAGCTCCCAGACTTATGACAAGGAGGCTACCTGGGAGCTGCAGGTGTCAGGTCAGTCGCTTATTTCCTAACTTTGTTGTCTTGTAGAACCATCCTGGACTTTATGAACAGTTTGTTTGATGAGGAAGTTCTTTATTAAGTTAGAAGATAGCTTGCTACTGTGAATTCATTCTATCTTGTCTATTCTATGTTATTTTATCAGATATGTAGATTCATGTAACCACCACCACATAAAGATGTATAACTATTGCATTAACACAAAAGTCTCCCTGTGCTATGACTTTTTAGTCACACTCACTGTCCCCCCACCAACCTCCCAACCCTGGCAACCACTAATCTGTTCTCCATTCCATAATTTTGACGTTTGAAGAATGTTATATAATGGAATATGCAGCATGTAATCTTTTGAGATTGACTTTTTCACTCAGCATAATACCCTTGAGATTCATCCAAGTTGTTTGTAGCAATAGTTCATTGCTTTTTATTGCTGAATAGTACTCCATGGTGTAGATTTACTACAGTTTAACCATTTAGTCACTGAAGGACTTCTGGACCATTTCCAGTTTTGCAATATTACAAATAAGGCTGCCATGAATATTCATGTATGTATTTTTGTGTGGACATAAATTTTCATTTATCTGGGATACATGCCCAGGATTTAGATTACTGCAGTGTATAAGTGTATGTTTAGTTGTTTTTTAAACAAATGCTTTTTTTTCAGCGGTTTTGTGTTTACAGAATAATTGAGCAGAAAGTCCAGAGAATTGCCACATGCACGACTCCACCCCTGCCAAGTTTCGCCTATTATTAACATATTGCATTAGTGCGGTATGTTTGTTATGATAGATGAGCTGATCGATATCAATACATTACTGACTAAATTGCATAGTGTACATTCTTGGTGTTGTAGATTCTATAGGTTTTGACAGTGTATAATGACATGTATCCACCATTACAGTACTATACAGAATGGTTTCACTGTCCTAAAAATCCCCTGGACTTCACCTATCCATCCCTTTCCCCAAAACCAAATCTCTGACAACCTGATCTTCTACTGACACCATAGTTTTGCCATTTCCAGAATGTCACATAGTTGGAATTATGTGTAGGTAGCCTTTTCAGATTGGCTTCTTCCACTTACCAATATGCATTTAAGGTTCATGTCTTTTTGTGGCTTGATTGCTGATTTCTTTTTTATCACAGAATAATATTCCATCATATGGTTGTACAATAGTTGTTAATCCATTCACCTATGGAATGATATCTTGGTTGCTTCCAAGTTTTGGCAATTATGAATAAATTTGCTATAAACATTTGTATGTACGTCTTTGTGTGGATGTAAGTTTTCAACATATTTGAGTAAAAATCAAGGAGTATGATTGCTGGTTTTACAGTAAGTTTTGTACGAAGATCACAAACTCTTTTCCAAAGTGACTGTACCATTTTGCATTCCCATTAGCAGTGAATGAACGTTCCTGTTGCTTCACATCCTCATCAGCATTTGATGTTGTCAGTGTTTTAGGTTTTAGCCTTTCTAATAAAAGTGTAGTGGTATTTCATTGTTGTTTTAATTTGCAACTGTCTAATGACATATGATGTTGAGCATCATTTAATAGACTTATTGGCCATCTGTGTATTTTCTTCAGTGAAGTCTTTTCAGATCTTTTACCCATTTTTAACTGGTTATTTGTTTTCTTATTGTCGAGTTTTAAACTTCTTTGTATATTTGGGATACCAGTCCTTTATCAGATATATGTTTAACAAATATTTTATCCCAGTTTGTGGTTTTTCTTTTCATTATATTAATATTTAGTTTTTAAATAAATTGCCAAATTATTTTTGAGAATGGCTGTACTATTTTACATTCCTAAGCAATGTTTGAATGAGGCAGATTTGATATAGTCAGTATTTTTGAGTATAAACCTAGAAGTGAAATTGCTGGTAATTCTGAGTTAAATTTTTTGAGGAACCGTCATACTGGTTTTCACAGTAGTTTCACCATTTTACATCCCCACCAGAAATACACAAGTTTTTCCAATTTTTCCACATTTTCACCAACAGTTATTTTCTATTTGTTTGGGATTTTTTTGATAGTAGTCATCCTGATTGGTGTGAAGTGATATCTCATTGTAGTTTTAATTTGCATTTTCTTAATGATTAATGATATTGAGCATCTTTTCATGTGCTTATTGGCCATTTGAATATCCTCTTTGGAGAAATGTCTATTCAAGTCCTTTGCCATTTTTTAAATCAGGTTGTTTGCTTTTTTATTGTTGAGTTGTAGGAATTCTTTATATATTTTGTATATTAATCCCTTATCAGATCTATGAATAGCAAATATTTTCTATCATTCCATGGGTTTCTTTTTTACTTTATTGTAATGTCCTTTCGATGAACAAAAGGTTGGAAGTCCAATATATATATTTTTTCTTTTGTTGCCTATACTTTTGGTGTCATATCCAAGGAATCATCATCAAGTCCAACATCATGAAGCTCTTCTTTTAAGAGTTTTATAATTTTAGGTTTTATATTTAAGACTTTGATCCATTTTGTGTTAATTTTTGTATATGGTGTAAGATAACAATTCCAACTTCATTCTTCTGCAAGTTGATATCCAGTTTTCCCAGCATCATTTGTTGAAAAGACTATTATTTCCTCATTGAACAGTCTTGGCACACTTGTTGAAAACCAGTTGACCATATATACAAAGGTTTATTTCTGGACTCTCCTTCTATTCTGTTAGTATTTATGTCTGCCTTTATATCAGTACCACACTGTTTTGATTACTGTACCTTGTAGTAAGTTTTGAAATCAGAAAGTGTGAGTCTCCAACTTTGTTCTTTTTTTCAAGATAATTTGCTACTTAAGGTCGCTTGAGATTCCATATAAATTTTAGGGTAAGTTTTTCTATTTCTGCCGAAAAAAAAAATCATTGGGATTTTCATAGGGGTTGTATTGAATCTGTAAATTGCTTTGGGTAGTATTGTCATCTTAAAAATATGAAGTGTTCTAATCAATGAACATGGGATGTCTTTCATTTCTTTATATCTTCTTTAGTTTCTTTCAGCAATGTTTTGTAGTTTCAGAGTACAAACTTTTGTTTCTTGGCTAAGTTTATTTCTAAGTATTTTATTCTTTTTGATGCTATTGTAAAGGGAATTGTTTTATTTAAAAAAAATACTTTTATTGTGGTATAATTGACAATAAAATTATATATATTTAAGGTGTCCAAGGTGATGTTTTGATATAGCTAATTAGCATATCTATCACCTCATATGGTTACCATTTTTTTCTTTATTTTGGGGGGTTGAGAAATCTTAAGATCTACCCTCTTAGCAAATATCAAGTATACAATATAGTATTATTAACTATACTCACAATGCTGTACTTTAGGTCTTGAGAACTTATTCACCTCACACAACTGAAACTTTGTACTCTTTATGAACATCACCCCATTATCCCTCCCTGCCCCCTAGCCCTGGCAACCACCATTCTGCTCTCTGCTTCGATGAGTTTGACTATTTTAGACCACATAGAAGTGAGATAATGCAGTATTTGTCTTTCTGTGTATGGCTTTTTTCACTTAGCATAATGCCCTCCAGGTTCATCTATGTTGTTGCAAATGGCAGGATTTCCTTCTTTTTCAAGGATGAATAATATTCTAATGTGTTATATATTTGTTATATATATACTTTTCTTCATCCATTATTCTGTCAACAGATATTTATGTTGTTTCCATATATTGGTTATTGTGAATAATGCTGCAATTAACATGGGAATGTAGATATCTCTTCAAGATCCTAATTTCAGTTCCTATGAATATATACCCAAAAGTGGGATTGCTGGATCATAGAGTAGTTCTATTTTTAATTTTTTGAGGAATCTCCATACATTTTCCATAGTGGCTGCACCAGTTTATATTCCACCAATAATGTACAAGGATTCCCTTTTCTCCATATTCTCGCCAATACTTATTATTTCTTTTTTTTTTTTTTTTTTTTTTTTTTTTAGAATAGCCATCCTAACAAAAGTGAGGTGATATCTCATTGTGGTTTTGATTTGCATTTCCCTGATGTTTGGTGATGTTGAGCATCTTTTCGTGTATCTGTTGGACATTTGGATGTCTTCTTTGGAAAAATATCTATTCAAATCCTCTGCCCATTTTTTAATCAGATTTTTTTAAAAAATTTATTTCATAAGTTCTTTATAATTGTGCATATTAAACCCTTATTATACATATGACTTGCAATTATTTTCTCTCATTCTGTAGGTTGCCTTTTCATTTTGTTGATGGTTTCCTTTCAGTACAGAGCTTTTTAGTTTAATGTAGTCTCACTTGTTTATTTTTGCTTTTATTGTCTTTGCTTTGGGTATCAAATACAAAAAATCATTGCTAACCAGTGTCAAGTAGCTCACCTCCATGTTTGCTTCTAAGAGTTTTATGGTTTGATGTCTTACATTCAAGACTTGCATCCATTTTCAGTTGACTTTTTGTGCATGGTATAAGATAGGGGTCTGGTTTCATTCTTTTGCTTGTGGCTGTCCAGTTTTCCCAGCCCCATTTTTTGAAGAGAATATTTGTTCCTCATTGGATATCCTTGACTTCTTGGTGGTAAATTATTTGACTAGATATGTTTGGGTTTATTTCTAGGCTGTTAATTCTCTTTGATTGATCTATATGTCTGTTTTTATGTCAATACTGTACTGTTTGATTACTATAGCTTTGTAATATATTTTAAAATCAGGAAATATGATGCCTCCAGCTGTATTCTTCTTTCTCAAGATGTCTTTGGCTCTTCAAGGTCTTTTTTGGTTCCATACAAATTTTAGAATAGTTCTACTTCTGTGAAAAATGCCATTGGAATTTTGATAGGGATTACTTTGAATCTGTAGATCATTTTGTGTAGTATGAAAAATTTAACAATATCAATTCCTCCATTTCATGAGCACAGAAAATCTTTCCATTTCTTTATGTCTTCTTTAATTTCTTTTAGCAATGTTATATAGTTTTCAGTGTACAGGTCTTTCACTTCCTTGGTTAAATTTATTCC